GGGCGCACGGTTGGGGGGGGCCCCACCCCCGGGCGCCCGACAACCTCAAAAGGTTGGGGACCACTAGTCTAGATCATACGTCATGTTGCTCCCCAAATGCCTCCGTATAATTTTTGGAACTACCTCTGTAGCCTTTTTTTTTCTTTTTTTTTTTTAAATTGGGGTCACATGAGCTATTCTTCAGTAATCTGGTACAGAACCTAGTTTAAAAGATAGGTTACATACTATCATTAGCAGTTCTTCAATTTCACATTTAGTATGATAAATACACAAATATGTTCCTTGCTAACTCCAATGCAAAGTATGCAAGGAAGAAGGTGCTTAGTTCATTGTCCACCAGTGTTGTGACTGAATACATATTTAAATGTATGGGATATGAGGAGACAACTTTTAATCTTTCATGTGTTCTGGGTCCATGTATGAAAAGCTTGACATTTGCTGAACTAACCATTTGATTTTACTGCTGAAAGAAGAATATAGAATCATAGAGCCATAGAACACTAGAAGTGGACCTCGAGAGGTCATAGAGTCCAGTCCCCTGCCCTCACAGCAGGACCAAGTATCATCTGAACCATCTCTGATAGATGTCTGTCTAACCTGCTCTTAAATATCTCCAGAGATGGAGATTTCACAGCCTCCCTAGGCAATTTAATCCAGTGTTTAACCACCCTGACAGTTAGGAAGTTTTTCCTAATGTTCAACCTAAATATGGTTTTCATATGAATGAAAACCAGCTATGGCAGTCGTCATTAAATATACTTGTAATTACTAATTAAATCCCAGCCCTGAGGGATGACTTAAGCCTTCTCCCTGCTGCTTAGACTTACTTTTCTCCTTTTAAATCAGGACCCATAATCTTGAGTTCTCAATCATGGTACTTGGTGCATCAAATCAAAGGTGCCCCTTGTGTGTGGAATACAAGCAGGGTTTTCTTTGGGAAAATGTTTGCTAGCAAATAATATACAGTAAAACTCCAATGGTCCGGCATCTGACAGTCCGGCACCATCAGGAACCCGGAAATGCTCCGGGCAGCCGGGCCATTGGAGCTTCTCTGCCCCCAGCTTCCCCTATTCAGCCGCTGCTAAAACTGACCAGCCGCTGAATCGGGGAAGCCGGAGGCAGAGCAGCTGGGGCACTGTCTGGGGGGGCCCAC